GTTGTCTGTATACATTGTTCATCATATCTGTTATCTAAACATATTGCTCATGTCTGTTGTCTGTATACATTGTTCATCATATCTGTTATCTAAACATATTGCTCATGTCTGTTGTCTGTATACATTGTTCATCATATCTGTTATCTAAACATATTGCTCATGTCTGTTGTCTGTATACATTGTTCATCATATCTGTTATCTAAACATATTGCTTATCATATCTATTATCTACACACATTGTGTGATTTTTATTGTCTACTATATAATATACAGTTTACTGATTTGTACATTCTGTGTATTCCTGGTTGATTTCTAGCCTCAATATATATATATAATGATTTTTATTATAATACACAGTTTACTGATTTGTACCTACTTGTATTCCTGGTTGATTTCTAGGCTTCTGTATTGTATATCATCATCACCATCAAGTGCCATGCTTTTCAGTGTAAGTGATCATGTCTCTCCACCTTTCCAAGTTTCAGACACTTGTGATAACATCAGTCATCCTCTCTTTGTGTAGCCAAATTGTTAAACTGTCCAGGATTTTCTCTCACTCTCTACCTCTTCTTCTTTTCTCTACAAATTTCCTAGTAGTTACCAAGTGTTCCATTCCTCATCACATGACGAAAGAATGCTGTTTGTATTTTTACTACCTTTGTTATTGATGTTATTTTTGTTGTAGAACTTCTTCAGTTGTTTTCCGGTCTTTGTAGGAAACCGTAATCATTCTACGCTGGAACCATATTGTATTATATATACATGTATCTCTATATATTGTGTGATTTGTATTGTCTACTATGTAATATATACTTTAATAATTTGTACCTACTATGTATTCCTCCTGGTTGATATCTAGTTACTGCTTAGTATTTATTTTTATTTGCTGTAGGTACTCTGTGTACATTGTGTTATTGTGTAGATACAGTTATTTAGTATTATGATTTGTATCTACTGTGTATTTCATGTAAATTTGTTTTCTTTTCTTTTAGAAATTAATATTGCTTTGGTCAACGAGTGATGAAACAGTTCGAGTTTTATCGTTTCTTGTCATTTTACGACTGGCTTCTGGACTGCCAAAAGATTATACAGATTATATATTGCGGGTAAATCTCAGTTTTTTTTAAATATAGAGTACTATTTTTTACTGACTTGTTTTGTTAAGTGTGACAAGATGTTAAAATGTTTTAATGAATCTCTGAATATCTTGATTTTGTTGATAATAACTGCTTGAGGAGTGTGTGAACCAACTTAATTATTAGGTTTTTTTGTTTTTTTTCTAAACTTAACATTCTTTGATAACTGGGAACATCTCTGGTTTACTTATTGAATAACATGTTTATGCCAGTTGAAAATAACTCAGAATTTACTTTCTTGTTCATGGCCAGGTGGATAAGGCGCTCGACTCACAATCTGAGGGTCGCGGGTTCGAATCCGCATC